GGCCGCTGGAAGGCGACAAGGCGCGGCTGGTGCCAGCGACAGCGAAAGCGATAGCAAGGAGTGCAAAAATTATTGTTGAACGCATTGCGTTTAAGCTGATACTGAAACTAACTTGACTAACTGTTGAATTGCGGCAAATTGTATATTCGGAATTGAGTGCGTTTGGGATTGATATGAAAATCGGGTTTGTACTTGTATTGCGATCGTCACAATGTGATCGTTATACATACATAAATAGCTACAGTGAATTGCTGTAGAAAGATTGAAGTGGCGAATTTATGGCCCACTTTTATGGGAGTGGCGGCACGTTCGGACGTTTATACTACACTTTATTATTTTGTTACGTATGTATGTATGCATGCATGTGTAATAGTTTGTATGCATATACAAGTAAGTACATACGTACATACATACATACATTTATTGCAGGTTAATTTATTTTCGGAATGCGATTATTTTCACCGACTGACTAATCTTATCGAATATGGTAGCCAAAGGTTGCTGCGTGATAAAGTTTGGGAATTCTAAAAACAACGTTTAAAACGTAAACGGCGTCCATAAATTCTAGTGTCCGACCGAAGTTGGAGTTTTGGCTGAAGCCGAAGTCGAAACTAATATTAGGTACTATTCAATATTCGGCCGAACACCGAAGCGAAAAAATAATAAGCCTCTGATTTTTTATTTCTTCACAAAGTGAGGTGTCATATTAAAAGGCTTGGACTGCAGATGTGCAATAAGGTTTTACTTTTTCGAAAAGAGTTGCCACCTTTTAAAAAGTTATATACAAATTATTTAAAAAATAAGTCAATTACCACAAAATGGGTATCACTCGAAATGGTTTAGAAAAGCTTTGTTTCTTAACTGAACTAACAAGGGTTTCCACCTATTTAAAAAATCAAATTCGATTTGAATTATGGGAATTAGGAAATTATTAAAATATGGATGTCAAACGAAGGAGTAATAAGAAATCTTTAGTTTGAAAGCAAAGAATATTTTTGAGGCGTTGGAAGACATTTTTTTATAATTTTTTAATAAGTTAAATGAGTTATTAAAATATGGGTATCAATCGAACTGGGTTTGAAGGTTTTCTATTTCGGAACCATATATAGTGGGGTTGCCACATATTTGAAAAGTCAAATTTCACTTAATTCATCAGTTAATTATGAATATATATTGCAATATCCGACGAAGGGGAGTTAACACGGATTAAGCTTGAAAATACTTTTGAAGAGGTCCGCCACCTGTTTGAAAGGTCTAATTCAATTAACTATTACAAAATGTATATGAAATATAAAAATTCCATAATCAAAATAAATAATGCTAAGAATAGTTTGAACTTTTTGAATGTCTGAAGAGGATTGCCACGTGTTTAAAAAGTTACATTCAAAATATTCAATAAGTTGGATGAATTATTAAGAAATTGCTATCGATCGAAATGGGTTTGAAAAGGCTTTATTTCTAACTTTTATTTAGGAGAGTTGCCATGTGTTTATTCAAATACATGTGTATCACAATGTCAGACGAAAGAGATGTAAGAAGATTTTAGTTTGAGAATACTTTTTAAGAGGAATTTCAAAAATGAGAGGACCACTTAAAGACCTTAGCCTTAGTGTGATAAAGTTTTATTTTTTTTTTTATCAAGAACTTTTTTCACCGGTGTTTCGAAATTGATGGTCGATGAAATTAAGAACCTGCACTATGCGAGACTTATCTTTTTATGACAGTCGGATCTCTTATAACTCTGACTAACATTTGGAATATTATTTAAGTTTTTGAAATTTAAATTTGGGCGTCTTAACGCCATACGGGTTCACTAGTTTTTATTATTTCTTAAATAAAAGGAACACAAACATTAATTTTCCACAGCCGCTAAACATTATTGGTATTGTGAATGATGCAAATGTAAATGCTTTTTCAAGCTTGTTTGTTTTTTTTTTTGACGCTTCACTTCCCAGGGAAAGCTCTTTCTGGCACACATTGCAAATCGCAGTTGACTTTTTCTGTTTGAGAAACTTCCAAATAGCGCCCATGTTTCAACAAAGTTACAGAAAAACGCAATTGTATCACTTTTATGATTTTTATAATGTATAGAGTTCTTACATTTTCAAAAGTGTTATGTAGAGATGCGAAGCAACAACAAAATTTTAACTACTGTCGTAAAATAATGTAACTTCGTGATAAACACAACATCTTGTTAATTGCCTAACTGTTCGGCATTTTCGGCCAAAGGTCGAAGCCGAGGATAAAAAATCAGGCGAATAGGCCGAATACCGAAACCAGGAAGAACCTTCGATTGGACACTAATAAATACAGTTAAAGTTAAACTTCTTGTGCTCGGTTGGGGGGAAAAGCAAAAATCGATGTGACAAACCAGCGACACGGCCATTGGGCCCTAATTCCAAACTTCAATGAAACGAAAAAAGACAGAAAAAGAGAGAGGATGACGGTAGTGGTTCAACACGATTAAGGTTAAAGTTAGGGCATTAAGAGTAAGATTAAATTTCACATTAAGAATAAAATTAAGATTATGACTTAGATTACGATTAGATTAAAATAGATATTAAGTTTAACATTAAGAATAAAATTAAGATTGGGGTTAAGATTAAAGTTAGGATTATGATTAAGATTAAGATCTAGATTGAGATTAAGATTTATATCAAAATTAAGATAAAAAAATTAACATTAAGATTAAGATTTAAATTACGATTACATTAAAATAAAATTTAAGTTTAAGATTAAAAATAAGCTTAAGATTGAGGGTAAGATTAAAGTTAAGATTAAGATTAAGATTAAAATTAAGATTAAGATCTAGATTGAGATTAAGATTTATATCAAAATTAACATTAAAATTAAGATTGATTTAGATTAATATTAAGCTAGGAATAAGATTAAGAATAAGGCTTAGATTAAGATTAAGATTGAGATTGATTTTGAGATTTAGATTAAGATTGAGATTCAGATTAATATTAAGAATGAAATTAAGATTAAGATCAAAATTAAGGTAAAAATTAAAGTTAAGATTAACATCAACATTAAGAGCAAGATTAAAATTTTATAAAGATTAAGATCTTTATATAATTGCTCAGTCGTACGACTTAGTTTGGGCACTCTGTAGCACTAAAGAATTGGTTTGTATATCAAAATAAAGTGCAAGCTGCAGTTCCCTTGACCGCGCACACAAATAAAAAGTGGTAGAAAAGTGAGCAATGTAATCTGTTGAAAAATATTAACCAATTTTTCGTGGAACTGAGATTCGGAAAAGTATAGATATGTAGGTATTATTCATAGTTTTGTAATATACTTCGCGAAAGCAAAAAATAATAGAGGGCGCAACAGTGAAAACTTTCACATTTTCTTCGAGCCCTATTTTCGCGATTTGGCAAACTCCAAATTGATTTTAGACCCATGGTTTCTTTGGCCGATTTTCTTAAAATATCACGTAAAATCCTCCTATTTTATACGCGCATTGTCGAAAAAATTTAACCGCCCTAATGTACATATATGTACATATCTCAAGGCTGGAGTAATTATTAAAGGGTTAATATAATATTTAGACCTATCTGGGTCCTAGCTGGGGATATTTAAGCTATCTGTGACTCATTTTCCGGCAAATTCCTTATTTCTGTCCAATTTAGTTAACCCTTCGGTTGGCTCTCTTAACTTTGGTTCTATCGCGGTTTACGTACACGTTTGGACAGATCCTTTGAAGTAAGATTTGCAGCATAAAAGCTTTGCAGCCTTTAACTTCATTCCTGGATTAAGGTCATAATTACTTGAAGGATCGGAATTTATATCATTTAGTAAGAGTTAATTTGGAGTATCATTATGACCTACAATCTTTTCCATATGTCTTTATGAAATGTGGAAAATCAAAAGCACACATATGTATGTATATAAACTAGACCAATGTTTTTTTGCTACTATAAGTTAGACTTTCCCCTCATGAATGCCCACTATGGGTGCCAGGAGGAAGCACATCCTTCTATCCGAAGTATTCAGCATGGTAACTATTGAAAAAGCGTTATACCAAATGCTTGATACGCCTTGTGTGGAGAGATGAATCGATTCCTCTTCTTCTTCCTCAATTCGACATCGAAGGCGCATTGGACGCTGTGATGAGGCCGGTGAAAGCGCTTACTGCAGATTAGTTTAGCCTCAATAATTTTTCAGTACGACGTTTATTGAGTCACGACCATAAATATCTGACATTTATCCCGTTTAATGCGTAGGTCATTTGTTACGGCTGTAATGTGTTATTCAATACCACTTAGTAGCAAAAAAAAATCGGTGGTTATTATCCGCTTGGTTAATCTGCACTTTCGAGCCGTGTCTAGCCACCTCATCGGCTATTTCGTTCCCTACGATATTGATATGTCCAGAAACCCAGCAGAGAGATATTTTAGCGTGACCCAGTGAAGCCCACGATGCGCGACATTTCCCTACTACTACGACTTAACTACATTGGCAGCTAATATTTTCAATGCAGGCCTTTCAACGAAAATAATGACGTTCACCGACCGTTCTCATCCGGCATGAGACAAGTCGCCTTATCAGGAGGTCCTTGGCATATAGACCCGAGCTGACTCCTTTTCCCATCCTTTAGCCACCGGTATAATGATGGAAATACCATTATTTACCGACAGTAGCCCCCTTGCCACTCTTTACTAGTTGGAAAATGTATGGAAATCTTAAGACGTGCGGTAATCAGTTTCGACGTCTAAGTCGGGTTTGATTCCTTTACGCCGTCCGCTATTGTAGCCACTATACTCTTCTCATGGAGTTATGAAGTGCTCGCAAACCAAAAAGTGCATATCTACGTACGTATTTACTTAGTTTCCTAGTACTTAACTGTAATGTAAATAAGCTCATCATGAAGACGTACATACTTATTTTGTGTTAAATTTAAAGACATCTAACTCACAGAAAACATATGTATTCGTAAGTAGTATACCATTTTTTTTTGTAGTTCTTATCAACACAATTTATTTGTTCGCCTGTGCTATAATACAAACACAATTGTCTATTCTAGAAATATTCAAAGACTCTTCTATTATTTCAAATACGCTAGCGCTGGGTCAACATTACTTACAATCCAATCGCTATAGTAAGCCGTTCTGCAACTCACATCCGGGAATTCAGTGCCACCGGCGCCAAAGAAAAAGCTTGCTACACCCACCAAAGTGTGGTTGAACACCACACCAGCGCCCTCATCACCCCGACCGATGCCCTGATTGACACCGTGGTTTAAGCACAAAGCTGATTCATAGCCATAACCGGCCTTATATTCACATTCATGAGAGCTTAACACGCTCAGTGTGGTTTTTTGTAGTCTGTATGGAGAAGCACCTGATAGTTGAAGACCCCAACCGGCCAATATCACATTTATGCCATCTGCCAATGTTTCACTGAGTTCGCTCTTGTCCCAAGCAATCGATGCGATCCTGTCGGTAAAACTTAGCGGTACTTCCAAGGTAATGATGGCAATGTTGTGCAAGAAATTACCAAAAGATGGATGTATAAGAATGTTACCGGCGCTGACAATTCGACCGCCAGCAAACTGGTTAATGCTGCCAACACGCACCGATACACGCGAAGAAGAAATGCTGTTTTCATAGAATGGGAATAAGGAAAAGAGTTAATTTTTTTAAAGAGGCTACTAAACATTTTCATATAATTTCGATTTACTCACGGTGTACTGCCCAATTCGGAGACGCCTTGAGCTGAGGTTAAAATGTGGTATTTACTGATAATACTGCCTACAGCAACATGCGCGTTGTCCACACGAACCGAAGCAACCCATGGAAATTCACCGGCTGCGGCATTCTCACCCTCCAATATGCGTCCTTGTGGTGCGGCAATTGTGCCGCAAACGTGGGAGATTGCCAAAATAGTGGCCAAAGCGATGATGCGTGTAACAGCCATGGCGACGAAACTTTAACTGCTCGCTATCGATGGGCTGACTTTTTGAAGAACTTACAAAATTTATAATTTCAACAATACTACGAGTATAAATTGCGTCAACGAACTTGAATTCGTGTCCATTTGTCTTTATCAGAATTCCGCAATGGTTAAAACATATTTTGTTGGTAATTTTTTTTCGGTAGCGCATAGAGTCCATTTCGCTTGATTAGAAAATGTAATTTTTTTTCGATGTCCGCTAAATGCTTAATTGTACTCGCAAAGTGTCGTATATAGGCCATAAAAGCATAAAAGGCCGTTATTATAAGCCTTATCGCTTATGGATATTTTTACAATTAGCTATTATGCTTAGACTTAGCTTTATCTGGCCTTCTTAGTAATTTCAACTGACATGAAAAATATTGTTTAAAGGGTGTAATATTCGTTCTTATATTTTGTTTAATTTTAGTTGAAAATTTGTCATCTGACGGCTTTTTACGTGTTGGTCTAGTCTGGATTTGGGGGATTCAGGAATTGTGGAGACGCTGCCATCTTAAAAATACTATGCATTAAATTAGTTTATCATTGTACTTATAGAATTCACATTATCCTTATTCTGCGGTTAACTGGTTCGGTTAGGTAAGGTTAAAGTGGCTGCATACAGTAGAGGAGAGAGACATACTTAGTCCCAGAGGACCCAATGTGGTACTCTTTGAAGAGGCATATTTAGTTCCCATCTGCTCCGTTATGTTAGTAGACCGCAAAAATTCACGAGTGTAGCGCTTAGGTCCGCCAGACAATAAAAAAAGTTATGGTGAAATGTGCTTCTTCTAGGCTAAAAGTTCATTATCCCGCTAGGTCAAGGCAGTCACACATCTAGTGCTCTATATTTTCAATACCTCTCTCGCCGACGACAGCATTAGCGGCAATCATTGGCCGGCAGTTTCGTTCAACTAGCACGCCTTGCTATTGAGAAGTGGGTGGTTACTTGCTGAAGGTAGACGATGTCCTAGAATGAGTGAGACGGAACTTTTTCTTGTCAAAACTGAGTGAGATTTGTAGTTTCATCACCTTATGGATTCTGTCGACCAACTTTTATATGTCTTCCCGAAGAAGTGTGATTTAAGCCATGGTTTGTAGGTAAATAGATAGAAAAATACCCACATTGTGAGAGTAGTTGACGTCAGATAAGGATTTGTCTGCCATGCAATTAACTTTATATATTTATGATAAGGACTTGCCCGAGCTTTATTGTCACTATCGCGCAGTCCAGTGACCTGATATTGGTTCGGATATTATTTAAGGAAAATAGTTACTGAAAGCAAGTTAGTAGAAGAGTCGAGAAATCAAAGTACATGCTCTTTTATAGCTTTTATAGTGCGAGGAGTAGTGATCGAACGGGGTGAGGGTTCGTGAAAGTCTCTCGGTGATTGTCGTGTCTGGCTTATCGGCACAACAATCTGTCCAGAGGTTGTGCAATTTGGGTGTAAACCCCATCTGTGAGCTCATAGCGATACTTAGGAACTGACTATATTTCAAGCGAGTATCTATTCAGCTCCGCTGGCTTGGCTATGCCGTCCGAATAGACAGAAATGCTCCTGCTCTGAAAGTATTCAACGCGAGTCGCGATGCTAGTAACAGAGGAAGAGGAAGGCCTCCTCTGCGTTGGAAAGACCAGGTGGAGAAGGACTTGGCATTTCCAATTGGCGTGAGTTGGCACAGTAGATAAATGACTGGCGTGCTGTCTTGGACTCAGGAAAAATCGCTTAGGCGGTTACAGCGCCAATAAAGAAGATCTATTCAGCCGCAATCTAACAACAATTTCTTGCTGAGTCTGAAATTTTGGTTACTTGCATGAAGTATTGAGGCTTTGTAATGTAAATAGTGTTCAGGCGATATCGGAAGATATTCTGTTGTTATCTAAAGCCCCATCCACTGAGTCCGTCGAGGTCCCAATGACCAAGCTGGTGCAGCAAAATGTAGAAACACCCGGTTAATTGCCTTATATTTATGTTGCCAGCAAAGTTTGTTGGTCTTTTTCCCAAGTGTCGGCAAATGTTTCAAACATAAATCTTTAGTGCAATTATCTGATTCCAATATCGATTAATCGTCAGTAACACACGCCTTGAAGATATTGTACAAGTTACACCGCAATGTGGAAAGGACTCCACTCTGTAGGACCGTTGGTTTAAATCTTTTAAACTTTGAGATTTGATGTCAAAAATGTGCTGATGGCTGTCGAACACTTAAGTAATTTGCCGCTCACCGTTTTAATATCTGTGGCTGAGCATTTAATAGCATGGTTCTGTTAACATTTCCTTAAAAAATTTTCGAAAAGTGGCAAAAGTCGCACATAATTTTGGAAAAGGGTAAAAAAATCAAAATTTTCCAAAAGTCGAGTCAATTTGACCCCCTTTAGTCGCACAACGGCAACACTGGCTGAAAGGATGCGTCAACGTACTCAAGTAACGTAAAATAATAAACGTGTCCAACGCTACCAGGAGATTTATCTGTTTAGCTTGATCAACGAACGAAGCAACCTCACGGATGACCTCAAAAGATTACTCACCCCAGCGTTGAAGCTGCGGGTCTTCAAGTGGTCTTCTCTCTTCTTCTGCTTATACATATGTATTGGTTTACATAATCAAACGTGATCAACCTTTGGAACTTTTTGTTCCATTCAGATCAGGCTTCTTGAGTAGGCCTACTAGAATTCACTACAAATGTGAACAATTTTTTTAAAAGTAACTGTCAAACTAATGTCATTGACACTGATTTCAGCAAGGCATTTAATAAGGTATCTCATTTAATTTTCATATACAAACTCGATAAAATTGTTTTCCCTCCAATCTTGCTGCGCTGGCTTTCTCCTTATTTAAAAGCCAGGAAATAGAGAGTTATCTTTAAAAAAAAAAAAATATCTCAGGTAATTCATGTGACGTCTAGTGTACCTCAGCGCAGCCGCCTAAGCCCTCTTTTGTTTCTGTTATTCATTAACTAGCTTCCAAATATTTTGAGGGATTCGAATTGCTTAATGTACGCATACGACGTTCAGTTATTTAAGTTCATTAGTACTCCAGGAGATAAGGAACAAGTATAGGCGGACCTAAATAATTTGTTATGTCACTCAACTTGAAAAAGTGTGAATTTGTGTGCCACTCTGGAAGACCGTTTCAATCATATAACTACAGGCCGATTTTAGAATTGTCCTTTGTAAGCCTATTACGCTAAGTATTTGTAGAACAACCTTGAAATTGATGATGCTTTTCGTTGCTTATGCCAGGATTTAAGAAGCATTACAACTATGTGGACACATTCGACACATTTTTTATCATTAAGAAAATTTTACTTGAAATTTTAAATAAATAGTACAACTTTACATAGCATATTCAATGTTTAGTAGGTGAACAGTGGAAAATTGTGAGGAACATTCCATAGAGTTCTATATAGAATTGAAAAAATTTATTCTGCTGGTTTTTGCTGTTGCATGAACTATATTTTTATAAAAGAAAACTGGCAGACCCGGCGAACTTCGTCTCGCCCAAAATAAATTTTTATTTATTGAAAACGATTTTCATTGGTACATTCATCTGCTATGATTATGCTTTGGTGGTCATTTGCCGCTTTAGATAACCTAACGGAAGTGTTATGTCCGTAAATAAGTTCTTCAAACTCTCCAATTGTGCAGCATTTTTTAGCACGTTTAATCGCAAAACGAAATAAATTTGAAGAACTCTTTCCTCCCTGGCGGCAACAATGATCCGGTTCTATACTGAATCTGTCCTAGAAGCTTTATAGTATAGTTGGTGGCAATTTCAAAATGGGTCCGTATCATTGTTCTACAGAAATGCAATATACATACACTTATTTCAAACGAAATACCTTAAAAGCTTAAACGCATAATAAGTCACATCCATTGCGCCAATAGTAACACAGGGGAGGTCGATATACAATGGTGCAACAGGTCGATTTAATCTGACATTCACTGCTCCTTTTCTCACTTGCCGATTTTTAATAATAACTAGCGCCACCTGACAGCACTTTTTTTTCAATAGTATTTCTCTTACCGTTACCAATACATATTTTAAATATTATCCAAATCGGATCATAAATAAGATTTTTAGTACTAACTCAACTACAGCGCCAAGTGGCGGGTTAAATTTTGAAACTAAACCATACAGAGACCCACTCAAACTCACACAAAAGATTTCGTTAAAGTCTGGACACCCATTAAGAGGATTTCACTCGCAAACATACCTACAGAAGAATTATAAATACATTCGAAGATAGCTAAAAGTCGGTACGTTTGTTGGCCGCAGCACCAAGCTCCAGTACTCAACTATGAACACTTCCAGAGATACGTAGTATGAAAAATTTGGTTTGTATGGGAGGTGCCAAGCCCCCTTTTCAAAAAGGCCAAAATTTTCTTCAAAAGTATGCACTTGATTTCATATATCGCTATACCAAGTTCCAGTATTCTACCATGAACATTTCCAGAGATATGCATTATGAAAACTTCGGTTTGTTTTTAGCCTAGAACCATCCTTGGGCCGTGTGCGGCAGGTGTCCATAATTTCCAAAAATCGGTTCAGCCGTTCTCGAGCTTTGCGAATACAAAAAAAAAATGGTTTTCAAAATATATAGTAGTATAAATGTATGCATGTTTTAAAATCTAATTCGATTCATTGAATGTTGATCTGTTGCACTGAGATAGTTGAGTTTTGTTTTGTGCAGAATTTGCATGAACTGAAACATACATTTCTTTGCTGTTATTTATTCTGCTTGCTACTACAGCGACGTAAAATTAGGTTTCTGCTGCGCAGCGCCAACTTCTTTTCTGACGAACTTTATCTTTATGAAATAGAGGAAAAGCTGAAGGTCAAAGTAAACATACTTATTATTAAAATTTGATTCTAAAAATACCACTCTATCCTATCGAGGTACAAATTTGTCATTTTAAAACTTTAATCATATAAACCGACCCAGTACATCGGCTGTTTCGCTCTAACAAAAAATTTTGGTTTTAATTTTATATATAGTATAGATAAGAAAAATTTTGTATGTAAAATATAAATAAAGAAACGTCAGGGTATTCATATTTTTGACGCGGACTGTATAGGTTTCTCGGAAAAGGCTCTAATGATTTTAATGAAATTGTATGTACTAATAATGCTTTGCAGTTTTACGTTATCTAAACAGGTACTAACTTATCAAATCAATGAAAAAAAATCCCCAATTCAGAAATAATTTTGAATAGAGTTGCATAGGAAGGCTACCCCTGAGGGGAAGTATTCAGGGTGTATTTAAGGCTACTACTTCGACATTTGGAACGCTGTTCAAAAACCAGCACAAGTGCGACCGTATACCAACAGA